GGGTTCGGCCCCACACCGCCCCGTTTCAGGGGGGGGGACGTGGGGCTGTAACGGGAGCTGTGGCGGGGCCTGGATTATCAGCGTAGGCCATGCCAGCTCGGGGAATTTGGTTTCTTGGCCCGGGCGTTGCTGGAGCAACCTCCGGGTTGGGATTGTGGGGCTTTGTGTTTTTTTTTAACGGGACAAGAGGCTTTTCTGTCTGCGGGGAGCGGGGTGGCCCCCGGGGGGGCCTGGGTTGAGTCACCCGATAGCCCCCCGTGGCGTTTCCCCCCCCCGGGCCCAGGCCCTGGCTGGCTCCCGTTTCGAGGCCCAGGACACCGGATACTCGTCGCTTATCGGCCCCCGGGGAGGAGGGTCGGGGCCGGATCCGGCACCGCGGCACCGCGGGCGCTGACAGATGGGGGATGCCGGCGGGTGACGCCGTGGGGTCAGACCCCGGGCACCCGTCGGTGACACGGGGACCACGGTTACAAACCCAACCGGGACCCCTCGCCAAATCCCACCCGGGGTTGGGCAAGTAGAGCCAGCTAGGGGGTAGCCCCGCTGCTCGTCCGTCGGTGACACTTGGACCACGCTTACAAACCCAACCGGGACCCCTCGCCAAATCCCACCCGGGGTTGGGCAAGTAGAGCCAGCCAGGGCATAGCCCCGCTGCCCGGCCCCACACATCCCCCTGCCCCACGGCGTCGTGGGGCTGGCAAGAAGGGACATTCGGGGTTTAGAATGGGGACGCAGAGCCCCCCAAAAGCGACTCTCGGCGTCGCTGCCCACCCCTCCCCTGCCCCATAAGCACTGGTGGGGCTGGAAACGCTCCCCCCACGTCACCCCCGAGGATGGTGTGGGGTGAGCGGGGTGCTGTGGGTCTGGGTTCCCCACATCCCGGCCCCCCGGGAAGGCGGCGCGGGGGTGTCCCGGCGGTGCCAGCCGGGCTGTCCAGCCCCGGTATCGGATCCTCCCGGAGGGAGGGGGCTTGGAGGTTATTTAACGTCCCCGCTCGTCCCAGCCCCACACTCTCGGAGCAGCGGGCGGGCGGCGCGGAGGGGACCTCAGGTGAGCCCAGGTGACAAAAGGGAGACACGGGTGCCCTGCAAAGGGACAGGGGGCCGGGGTCCCCCTCCCCAGGTGCCCCCCCTTCCCCAGGAGCCCCCTCATCCAGCCCTGGGGTACCCCACGGGGGTCTCTGCCCAACGCCAAGCATTCGGCGTGAAGGCCACGGCTCCCCAAGAGGGGACAGGGCAGGGGGTGGCTGCGATTTGGGGGGTAGGACAAGGAGGAGGGGGGGACCTTGTGGCTGTCCCCTGCTCCGTAACATGGCGGGTCATTGTTCACCACCTCCCAGCCCTGGGGTGCCCCGTGGGGGTCTCTGCCCAACGCCAAGCATTCGTTGTGAAGGCCACGGCTCCCCAAGAGGGGACATGGCAGGGTGTGGCTGCGCTTTGGGGGCTAGGATACAGAGGAGGGGGGGACCTTGTGGCTGTCCCCTGCTCCGTAACATGGCGGGTCGTTGTGTCCCCCCCCCCTGCAGCCGGAGTCATGGCGTCGCAGCTGGAAGGGGCCATGGAGACACTCATCAACGTCTTCCACCATTACTCGGGCAAAGAAGGGGACAAGTACAAGCTGAGCAAGAAGGAGCTGAAGGAGCTGCTGCAGAGCGAGCTGGGCTGCTTCCTGGAGGTAGGAACCATGAGGGGCCGGGGGTCCCCCCCCAAACTTTCCCTCTGTCCCAGCGGGCTGCCGAGCCCCCCAGGGCTCACCCTGTCACCCCCCCATCTTCTCCTGACACACAGACCCAGAAGGACACGGGCGCCGTGGAGAAGATCATGCAGGACCTGGATGAGAACGGCGACGGGGAGGTGGACTTCCAGGAGTACGTGGTCCTGGTGGCCACCCTCACCGTGGCCTGCAACACCTTCTTCTGGGAGAACGCCTGACCCAGGCCCCCCACCACCACCACCACCACGCAGCAGCCGGCCGCAGCGTCCCCAAAAACGCAGAGCCCCCCGCCATCACCCCCCCAGCTCCCCCTCAGCTCCCCAGCACACCCCGGGGATCCCACTGGGATCCAGCTCCACAATAAAGGCACTGACCCAGCCAGAGGCGTGTTGTCAGCTCCTTCCTTTTTAGGGCTGGGTGTCCCTCCCTGGTGTCCCCCCAGGGATACTGGTGTCCTCCCGGGGATACCAAAGAGCCTTCCCTCTCTCCTGAGCCATGGGGTCACAGGGAAAAGCCACTTCGGGTCACCCGAAGTGCCTGGAGACATCCCCGTCTCCACCCTGCTCCTCCATCGGGACCTGGCACCAGCCCCACCGTGGCCCCGGGGCTCAGCAGAGCCAGGGCGGGTGACCCCGAAATGCACCGGGGGGTGTTGGGGTGCGGGACACGGAGGTGCAACGTGGGGGCAGGAGGGTCCGGAGGAGGGGGAGACAGGCCACAGGCCGGGACTCGTCGCCCCGTCCCGCCAGAGGCACGGGCACCGCGCCCCGTGTGGGGCTGGAGGAACCGGTTCTTATCTCCTCACCCCAGCGGGCCGCCCGCCAGCAGCCCCCGCGCTCAGGCCCGGCGCAGGGCCACCAGCGCCATCGTCTGCCGGGGCTGGGGCCGGCTTCGGTGCTTCCTAAAGGGCTCCGGGATCTCCCCCATCCCGCCCCACACCGGGGCTGCCCCGGGAGACATCGGGGGATACAGCGGGGACAACTAGGCCGCAGGCCCAACCAGGCCGCAAGGGGAACTAGAAGCCCCCTGAGGCCCTCCTCAAGCCTTCAACACCTCTAACCAGGCCTCCGCACCCGCCTTAATGAGCAAGCGGGCGCCCGAGCTCCTCAGCGGGGAGGAACCGGGGGAGAACCGGGAACGGGCCCCGTTGGAACCCGGCCAGGCCGCGGCGGCGCCCGCCTGAAGGAGCCCAAGGCATCCCCCCCCCGCTTCCGCACCACAGCCTAGTCCCGCCCACCCCACCCCGGGGCACCAATAGCCGAGGGGGCGTCCCTGACGTCGGGGCTGCTCCGCCCAATAGGAGGCGGGGCGGTGGTGACGGACGGGGCTGTGCGCCTGCGCTTAGCCGCCGCCATTTTGGGCGGCTCGGGAGGAGGAAGAGGAGGGAGGGGGTTTGCGGGCGCCGCCGCCATTTTGTCGCGGGCGCTTCGAGTGCGGCGGGAGCGGGCGGAGGGCGCCGGTGCCAGCCCCACACCCCGCGCCAGCCGTTAGTCAGCCCCACCGGAGACCTGGCGACCGTCTGCTTCGGTGAGAGAGGTTGGCCCTGACCGGTATGGGGCGGGCGGGTGCGTGCTGAGGGAGGCTCCGGGAGGGAGGCCGCGGGGCTCCCCTCAGGCGGCTGAGGGTGGGATGGGGGGCTGAGCTTTGTCCTCTGAGGGGAAAAGTGAGGGTTTTGCCCATTTCTCGGCTTTGTGCACCCAGGGCCGGGCTCTTTTATCCCCTCAGGTCTCGTAGGGTAGGGGTTGGACCGAGGGCCCAGGCCAGGCCTCGGCTTCCTCCCCATTCTCGGCGGGCAGATGGGAATGGGGCTTCCCCAGCTGTGGTTATTTAGGAAAAACCAAAAAAAAAGTGCACTTTGAAAGCGTTTTTAGTTAAAAAAGGGATTACGGCTGCCTGTTGGCTCAATTTCTAGCCGGTGGGCTGTAAAACAGTGCAAAGAAAGCATTTTTGAGGAGGAGTTTTGAGGAGGAGTGCTTCTCGGCAGTCACCTAAGCATTACGTTTGGTGCTAATTTTATTTTAAAGAAAAGCTAAAGCGATCTGTATACTCGAGCTTACCGCATTTCAGTAGTATTCATCACCCCCAAAGCACTCGGCGTCGAGCTGTGCTCCCAGGATCAGGAACAGCTGAGTTTAAATCCCTTCCCTCAGGCGTGTGGCGGGTTTTTGTGTCGAAGAACCGCATTGGGGCTGTGGGTGAGCCGCCTACCAGAGTATTAGGTATTAAAAATCCCAACTGATTGCAGTTTACCTCTGTCCAGGTGGTGGCAATCATAGTAGGAGGCGGGAACCTTAATATTTTTAACTTATATGGGACTTCCGTAGGGTAACGTTGAGATTTCATTGCCAGGTCTATAGTTTGTGTCTGTTTAAAGCAAATAGGGGTTTCCATCTAGCTGATAGTAAAGCTGAGGGAGTGTGGCAGTGTCACTAGGTGCTGCACTAAACAAGATATTTGGGTGACATCTTGACTGATGGACTATTTTTGCAGCGTTCCTCCTGCTATCGATAAAATTTTCCCTTTTTAAAGAGTGATTTCTCAGTCAGGGTGGGTTAGCATAGCTTGCTGATTTATTAAACCTGCTGTATCACAGCAGTGGCCTAGAAATTAAATTAAATTGCCCCCTTCTTGGTGTTCTCCACCCAAGGAGCCGGAATGCGGGGGTTTTATTGAATGTTGAGTCGAGTTGGCGCCGCGTCTCCGTGCTGTTTGTTAAATCTGCTTCTTCTGCTTCTCCTGTTTTGCAGATTCTCTCGATCTGAAGATGGCTGCACAGTCAGCACCGAAGGTTGTGCTAAAGAGCACCACCAAGATGTCTCTGAACGAGCGGTGAGGAAGCCAACAGCAGCTTCAGCTCATAAGAAATTATTTTTTTTTATTTTTTTTTTTATTTTTTACTTAAATATCACTGTGTCCGGTGTCCAAAAAAAAAAAAAAAAAACAAAAACCCAACGTGGTTTCTGCCCTCTTTTAAAACCTCACTTAAAACAAGCAGATGGCTTTGCACCTCTGTCTTAAACTCCAACAAAAAATGTGGTACGCACGGTTAAAAGGGCGAGCGTTGCGGAGCGATTCATCTGCAGCCGTTAAGCTTAAACTATCCGACACGTAAAAAAAATCCTGGTGGGATGTGGTCTTAACCAAACCGAGAGAAACCTCACACCCTCCCTTTTTTTTTTTTTTTTTTTTTGTCTTCCACATGGTTTTTTTACATTTTAGCCCGGTCGCCGCTGCGGCGCGGTAGCATGTTACCCAGGCTGCGGCGGGTTTGCTGCTTCGTCCGAGGCAGACTCACGCCCGCGTGGTCTGGTCTGTAAGAGGCAGGCAGCAGGCCCTCAAACAAAGCCCAAAGGCCCTTTAAACAACAGTTTTGGGCCTTGTAAGAGGCAAATGCTTTGCTTCATCTCCATCTCCTCTCTCTCTTTGATTTCTTGATTTCTTCTGTTGAGTATTTTGCTGGGTTTGTTTTCTTTTTTCTTTTTTTTTTTGCCATGCCATTCTGTGTTTCTACAGCAATGACTTAACAGCAATGCAGTTAATGTTCTGCTTTCTTACTAATCACTCTTCTAACGATGTTATTGTCATGGAATTGGGGAGAAAGGGAGCTGTTTGCCTGCAGTTCCTGCTGTGGGGCAAGGTCTGTGATGAGATGTATTGTCATGGAATTGGGGAGAAAGGGAGCTCTTTGCCTGCAGCTCCTGCTCTGGGGAGGTCTGCAATGGCACATAGCCTGAAGGGGTGCTTGGGCTCACCCTGCAGAAGGGGAGCAGGGCAGGGGAGCCTCACTGGCCTCTTCCCTTTTAGTCAGCCCATATTCCTCATCCCAAAGTGTTTTCCAGTCCCAAAGTGTTTTCCAGTCTCGCGTAGCTCCTGGGACACAGCAGAAAGCCCATGGGATGCTGCTGAGGAGGAGCTAAGGAGGTTACCTCACGCTGCATGTATTGCTCTTAAAGCCAGAAGATTCTTTGTGCACCAAAGAAACGGCCAAAGTTTTTTTTATAACTATTTTTATAAATGAGCACAGTTGGGTGGTGGTATTTCTTAGGGCACCAGTGCCACCAGAGGCATGCTGGTCTGTTCTGGGGGCTTTTGTAGAGCTGCCATCTGGCATTGAGGTTTTAAAACTAATTAAATAAGTTTTCTTACCTCTTAGAGGGTTAATTGGGATTTTGCAGTAGGATTTCAGTTTGCTTTTCTGTTTCTGTCATGTCTTCTCTCATCTGTCACGGTCATCTCTGCTTACTGCTTGTTCTCATTCCTTTCTGCCATTTTCTAAAAAAATCAGTAACCTAAAGCTTTTGATCACTTCTGAATTAACACCCAACGTCATTTCTGAGTTTCCAGTTCTTGCACACTTGTGGAAAACAAGGAACACCTAAATCCCGTATGACGTGACCCGAGTACCACTCTTTTACATAAAAGGTTCATGGGATCTGGAGATCCGATCTTGAGAACCATGAAATGCCAATAAATGTATGTAATAAAAGCTTTATTTAAACACCCATTTTATTCGACCTTGAAGCTTTACTAACATGCTGAAGAACAAACAGCCGATGCCAGTGAATATTCGGGCTACCATGCAGCAGCAGCAGCAGCTGGCCAGTGCCAGAAACAGAAGACTGGCCCAGCAGATGGAGAATAGACCTTCTGTCCAGGCTGCTTTGAAGCTTAAACAGGTGAGAAAAAGCAGCTTTTTTTTTGGGGGGGCAGCCCATCAATTATTGGCACTGACAATAATTCAGGGCACGGTGGGTTTTGAAAAATCCTCCTGGAAGTTAAAAATGAGAAACCTAGAAGGGACTTGGAGAAAATCCCATCTTTTATTTCAGATGAGTGACGTTTTGTGACTTACCTGGTTGTTGTTACTATGAGTTGGGGGTGGTTTTGTGCTGCCTGTTCACGTCTCCTCTCTATTTTTTCAGAGAAATGTTCTCATTCTGGGTTTCTGGATCTGCCGAGTGCTTCATCTCGCAATCTAATCTTTTATGGTTCCACGTTTCGGTGATGAGTGTTAGAGATTTCAGTGTCTTCCTCAAACTGGTAGAGCAGAAGACCTGAGCAGATGCTCTAGATCTTGATTCCTCCACCTTTTCAGTGTGTTCCTCCCTAACTCTGGACTTAGGGAAGGGGCAGGGGGCAAAATCTCACTATGACAGAAACCTCAATAACGTCCGGAAGAGACATATTTCTCTAAATTCTCCTCGTTGACAGACTTAAGGTCTTTTTTGCAAGTTTTAAAGTGTATTTTTAAGTGGGAAGGGTGGTGAAATTGGCTTAAAATGGATGCATAGGGCACAAATTGGCTTAAAATGGATGCATAGGGCACAAATTGGCTTAAAATGGATGCATAGGGCACAAATTGGCTTAAAATGGATGCATAGGGCACAAATTAAAACCCGTGGGGTAGAGCTGTGGGGTGAGTTCAAACCAGCACCGCCTGACTCGGCTCCAGAAGTAGTTAAATCAAATTCTCTACGTTCTCCTCCACGAGGAAAAAAAGCCCTGGAAATTTTTGAGCTGAGCTGCTTGGCCAAATAGCTGGAATACTTGAACCACGCCGAGGTTGAGGGCTCACTCTTTGCTAAAAGAGGGAATTTGGCCACTTTTCCAGACCTCTCGAGACGTCTGCTGTAAAAAAACAGCCCCTGGTGCCAGTGGGTCTTGGAGAGCTTGTAAACAAAAAGCTCTGGAAATGGTTGTCTGAATTATTTTGTTTGGTTTTTTTTAAAAAAAAAGAATTTGAAAAGAATTTCACAAGTGGTAAGTGAAACTGGATCGAAAGCTTGAATTCTGCTGAATTGAAAAGGGTTTTTTTGGCTTGGCTCCTAAACCTGATTTGATTTTTTCATGGTTTTTAAGGGCATAGGGGTGTCCTCGTGGTCTCCTGGAGTTGAATGCTGCGAGGGAGGGCCACGGAAGGGTGGCACAGGGAAATTTGGGACCCTGGCTTATATTGGGTTGCTCTTCCAGGAGTGGAAGTTGCTGTTTGTGGTTGGATTTTTTTCACCAGGAGCTTTTTTAGCTCCTTCTGGTGGTGTTGGACCCCCGTGATGGGTCATCCATGCTTCAGAAAGGACTTCTTTAAGTTCCCAGGGAGTTCTGCTTGTGCCAAATTTCTAGTGGTGTGTTCTGTATCCTCCACATCCCACTGCACGAGTGTTTACATTAACCTACTGGGGGTTTTTTTAACTTAAAACCGTTTTTATTGATGGTAGTTCCAGACCTGAGTTTATTTGGTGGCTGGAGCAGAGCAAGGTTGAGCACTTTGAGGCTGTTTCGGTGCAAAGGCCAGCAGTTTGTGTTAAAATCTTAATTGTAAGTGGCATAAATGAATAATTAGATACGGAACATCCACGTGTTAGATATGTAAGTTATTAGATATTATAAGTGGCATAAATGAATAATTAGATACGGAACATCCACGTGTTAGATATGTAAGTTATTAGATATTATAAGTGGCATAAATGAATAATTAGATACGGAACATCCACGTGTTTCTCATTCGCTGGGCGAAATAAAGGATGACATTTTAGGCTGCTGCAGCTGTTGGCAAAATGAATGACTTCCTAAACTCTTGAATCATTAAAATCTTACTACAGCTACAAAAAAGACTGATTTTAGAGGAAGCCAGTCAGCTTTTCACAGGTTTGGGTCAAATAGAGAAGCGATAACTTCAACTTATGGAATCTGTGGTAAAACGCAGCCTTTATGGCTCCTCCTGTCCCTTGCTGAGAACTCTTGCTCTTGTGACAAGTGTGAAGGTTCCTGGTGCTGCTTCATGGCCCCGTGTGGGTTTTTTGGGGACTAAACTGGCACCAGTGGGTGTTAGTGATTTCACCACTAAAGTTTTTGGGGTCTAGATGCAAAAGTTGATGTTTTTTCCAAGCTGTTGCCTTGGCGCGTGCGGAGGCTGGGCCAGGGGGCCACCGGGGGTGGTAGCCACGGCGTGTGGCTCCACAGATGGGCTTGTGCCACAGCAGGGCTCGTTGCTTTCCCTGTCCCTTGGACTGTCACCTTCCAGCAGGAGGGGTTAGTGTCACCCTCGGGGACCGAGTGCCTGATTTGGACCGAGCAGCGCTGCTAAAAACGGGGAGAAATATTTCCTTCCCAATGGGCAAACTTTCTTCTCTCCGCACAAACGTTTGCTTCCAGGAAAGGTCTTTTTAATCTCTCTTTTGACCTTCCCAAACCATCCCTCCCAGAGCAGATTTGATTATATATTGCAGAGAGCTGGTGACAAACGTTTGCTTCCAGGAAAGGTCTTTTTTTAATCTCTCTTTGACCTTCCCAAACCATCCCTCCCAGATTTGATTCTCTTGATTATATATTGCAGAGGAGCTGGTGACCCCCTATTTTATATTTAAACCCCCAATTTTATATTTCAAATAAACCCCTAATTTTATATTTAAAATAACCCCCCAAACACTCCCCCTCGTAGGGCCAGGCGGTTGCTGTGCCGTCGGCCCTCCGAGTCCCAGATTGCTGCATGACTTCTTGTTTGTTTTTTTTGTTGTTTTGGTTTGTTTTTTTGGGTTTTTTTCTTCAAAATCATTTGTTCCAGAAGAGCTTAAAGCAACGCCTGGGGAAGAGTAACATCCAGGCACGACTGGGCCGGCCGGCTGGCCCCCTCGCTCGAGGAGCCATGGGGGGAAGAGGACTAGCCATGGGGCAGAGGGGCTTGCCACGAGGAGCCATGCGCGGTGGCCGGGGAGCAAGAGCTCTGCTGAGAGGAGGAGTCCCACTCCGAGGTCAGTGCTTCAACTGGAGATTGGTTTTATACCAGTAAAAACATTATTTTTTTGGACAACGGGACTCTGGCTTGGGCTGAAAACTGAGAATTTGATTTTTTAAATATATTTTTTTTTTTACTCACCTTTTTCACAGGTCAGAGCCTGCTTCGTGGAGGGCGAGGGATGTCCCCCAGGATGGGGCTGAGAAGAGGTGGCATCAGGGGCCGTGGTGGCCCTGGAAGAGGTGGCCTGGGCAGAGGTGCCATGGGCCGCGGGGGACTCGGTGGCCGAGGTTGGTGCGCGCGGGCGTCGGGAGCCACTCTCTGCTGCCAAATAACTAGAAATAACCTTTAATTCTCAGAATCACAGAATCTTCTAGGTTGGAAGGGACCTTCAAGATCATCTTGTCCAACCATCAACCCAACTGACAAAAATAGACACCCACAGGTGTCATTTAATCCTTTTTCCTGCTTAAGGCTTGTGTTGTGTGACCACACACGGCCCCAAAACCCCTCGATTTCTTAAATTGTAGCTCTCAGTTAGGGCTTTTATTCCCCAAATATTTTCCCTCGCCAAGATCTTCAACACCATCACTAGAGGGGATCTGAGGACTCTCAGCCAAGTTGTCCCTTCCTGGCTGGTGTCACTTGGAGTAATAGTTGAGGGAGGGAATGATCTTCCAACATGTTGAGGAAGATGATGGTGTCTCCTCACGCCTCCAAAGGAAATGATACAGAGACTGAGGAAACCAAGAGTCTCTTCGTTTACTCAGAGAGACCTGGAGAGTTGTGGGGAGAGGAACCTGATGAAGTTCAACCAGGACAAGTGTTGGGTGCTGCCCCTGGGGAGGAAGAACCCCTCAAACCAGTACAGGTTGGGGGTGACCTGCTGGGGAGCAGCTCTGAGGAGAAAGACCTGGGAGTCCTGGGGGACAACAGGATGCCCAGGAGCCAGCAATGGGCCCTGGTGGCCAAGGAGGCCAATGGCATCCTGGGGGGCATCAAGAAGAGCGTGGAGAACCTCAAGGGAGGTCATCCTGCCCCTCTGCTCTGCCCTGGGGAGGCCCCAGCTGGAGCACTGGGACCAGTTGTGGGCTCCCCAGTTCCAGAAGGACAGGGAACTGCTGGAGAGGGGACAGTGGAGGCTGCGAGGATGATGAGGGACTGGAGCATCTCTCTTGGGAGGAAAGGCTGAGGGACCTGGGGCTTTGGAGTCTGGAGAAGAGAAGGCTGAGGGGGGATCTGATCAAGGCCTGGAAATCCTTCCAGGGTGGGGGTCAGGAGGATGGGGCCAGGCTTTTTCCAGTGGTGCCCAGGGACAGGACAAGAGGGAACGGGCACAAACTGGAACAGGGCAAGTTCCATTTCAACATGAGGAGGAACTTCTTGACTTTGAGGGTGGCAGAGCCCTGGCAGAGGCTGCCCAGAGAGGTGGTGGGGTCTCCTTCTCTGGAGATGTTCAACACCCACCTGGATTTGATCCTGTGGGACCTGCTCTGGGTGGACCTGCTTGGGCCAGAGGGTTGGGACAAGGTGGTCTCCAGAGGTCCCTTCCAACCTCCACCAGTCTATGCCATCTCTGGAGACATTCAAACCCCACGTGGCCACGTTCCTGTGGGACCTGCTCTGGGTGACCCTGCTTGGCCAGGGGTGGGATTGGGTGATCTCCAGAGGTCCCTTCCAACCTCCACCAGTCTATGCCATCTCTGGAGACATCCCAACCCCACGTGGCCACGTTCCTGTGGGACCTGCTCTGGGTGACCCTGCTTGGGCCAGGGGGTGGGACTGGGTGATCTCCAGAGGTCCCTTCCAACCTCCACCAGTCTATGCCATCTCTGGAGACATCCCAACCCCACGTGGCCACGTTCCTGTGGGACCTGCTCTGGGTGACCCTGCTTGGGCCAGGGGGTGGGACTGGGTGATCTCCAGAGGTCCCTTCCAACCTCCACCAGTCTATGCCATCTCTGGAGACATCCCAACCCCACGTGGCCACGTTCCTGTGGGACCTGCTCTGGGTGACCCTGCTTGGGCCAGGGGGTGGGACTTGGGTGATCTCCAGGGGTCCCTTCCAACCTCCACCATCCTGCCATCCCAGCACCCCATGGTCCAATCCTGTAGGACCATCCTTCCGCGATGGTCCTACAGGACGTTCCTGAGAAGTAGCTTTGATAGGGTGGGAGTGGTGACCTCGGGGGTCTGGTGGAACGTGTGTGACCCCCATCTTTACGTCCCCGTAGGTCGTGGCATGACGGGCCGGGGCCGTGGTGGCTTCGGTGGCCGCGGCAGAGGCCGAGGTCGGGGCAGAGGATCCACACGTCCCGCCTTGACCAAGGAGCAGTTGGACAACCAGTTGGACGCCTACATGTCCAAGACCAAGGGACACCTGGACGCCGAGCTGGACGCCTACATGGCTCAGACAGACCCCGAGACCAACGACTGACTCATCCCCCCCCTTCCCCCCCCCAAAAAAAAACCCCCCACAGACTCTTGGTGGCCCCTCAGGACACCATTTTGGTAGCCCACCAGCTGAAAACGCGAGCCCTCGTCCCGGCCGGAAGGACCCTTGGGAGCAAGGAGAGAGAAATGAGACTTTAGTGTGTTCTTTCCCCGTTTTGATACTCTCCGTTGTCTGAAACCTTTCATTTTTGGGAGTTTTGGGATCGTTTGTGGTTTTGCTTTGGTTTTTTTATATCTTTTTTGTTGTTTTTTTTCCTGGTTTTCCCTTAAATCCTGACACAAAACCGACAGATTTAGTGCCAGGAAACTCCATTTTTTTTGCTTCATAATTTGGCATCA